CACCACAGCAATATGACACAGCACCACAGCACCCACCACAGCAATATGGCACAGCAGCACCCTGCTGGTGGGGTGCACGGCGAGGGCCCTCCTGAAGTGGACGTCGCTGGGGGCGAGGAGGTCCTGACGGTAGAGGGCGACGCCCATGCCGTACCAGGCGTTGTAGTGGCGCGCGTCTAGGCGCACGGCGCCCCTGTAGGCGCCCAACGCCTTGTCCAGCTCCTCCGTGGCTACGTGCTCGTGCCCCAGCAGCGTGTACGCGTAGCAGCACGTCGGCTCCACCTGTACCAGCGAGCACTTGGTTAGTGACTGGGTCGTACCCTAAACATAGTACCCTGAGGTTCTAATGTACCCCACGTGCCCCAGTGACGTATACGCGTAGCAGCACGTCGGCTCCACCTGTACCAGCGGGGTACTTGGTTAGTGACTGGGTCGTACCCTACACTCTGTACCCCTGTATCTTGAGGTGCTAACGTACCCCATACACCTGTACCAGCGGGCACTTGGTTAGTGACTGGGTCGTACCCTACACTCTGTACCCCTGTACTTTGAGGTGCTAACGTACCCCATACACCTGTACCAGCGGGGAACTTGGTTAGTGACTGGGTCGTACCCTACACTCTGTACCGCTGTACTTTGAGGTGCTAACGTACCCCATACACCTGTACCAGCGGGGGACTTGCTTAACGACTGGGTCGTACCCATACACCTGTCATACCCAGAGGTTCTAACGTACCCTCACGTGCCTTGGTATGCTACCGTAACATGTCTCCACATGCCCCCACCAATTTAACGTACCCCCCCAGTACCTTGGTATGTACCTGCACAGCCCTGGAGAAGAACTTAATGGCAGCTTCATGTTCTTTCTGCAGAGAGAAGCAGTTGCCGAGCGCACACCACGTCACCGCGCGCCCTTTGTCAACGGCAAGGAGCTGCTGCGCGAGGGCCGACAGCTGGGCCTCCTGCTGTAGGTGCCACAGCGCCGTGCTGTAGTAATCCAGCTCCTGCAGCAGGTAGGGGCATGAGGCCATGGCCTCACGGAAGTAGGAGGCACTGGTCTGGAAGTCGTTTGAGTGGAAGTGGGCCTTGGCGAGGCATGTGAGGCCAAAGTGGGTCATGAGGTGATGAGGCGGCAGGGCCTCAAATGCGGCGATGCTGGAGGCCAAGTCGTACCTGCTGAGGCGCCTGTAGGCCTCACCGATGAGGCGCAGGAGGCTCATGAGACCCTCTGCAATATGAGGACATTATCAGGGTGGCGACAGAGGCTGAAGGATGCAAGTACAATAAATGTAGCGATGAAATTTAAAATAAATGTCAACAGCAAGGGCCTGGGACTGCTTACCATAGCCAGCATGGCCTGGGACTGCTACGTCCCTAACGCTTACCATAGCCAGCGTGGCCTGGGACTGCTATGTCCCTAATGCTTACCATAGCCAGCGTGGCCTGGGACTGCTACGTCCCTAATGCTTACCATAGCCAGCGTGGCCTGGGACTGCTACGTCCCTAATGCTTACCATAGCCAGCGTGGCCTGGGACTGCTACGTGACTCACCTGCCGCCTGTTTCTGCAGTGGGTCATAAGTAGGTCATGAGTCGGTCATAAGTGGGTCCCTCACCTGCCGCCTGTTTCTGCAGCCCCAGCGCTTGTCTATTAAGCTCCTCTTGACTGATGACAACAAGCGGCGGCGGCGGGGGCGGCGGGGTCTGTTGTGGTGTCGGTTTACTGTCGGCAGCGGCGGGTGGTGGGATGATAAGTGCTGGTGTTGGTGTTGGTTTGGTGGTGTTGGTGTTAACACCAGTCGAGGGCATCAGGATATTACCACCTACACCACCACCACCACCACCACCACCTCCAGGCATGATGTTCTCGTCGATGGAGGCGGTGGAGGGGTTGGTGTTACGGGCGTTGTTGAGTTCGATGAGGCTGGAGGCGGTGGAAGTGGAGCTGGAGGGCATGGAGCTGGAGCTGGAGGGCATGGAGGGGGTGGTTGAGGTGGAGGGGGTGGAGGTGGAGGGGGTGGAGGAGGGTCGGAGGGCGCGGGGTTTGCACCTTCGCCCCGTGGTGGGGGGCACGATCCCCCGGGCCTTGTTGTTCTCCTGGGGACAAGGGGACGGGCGTGAGAACAGGTCCACTTATTTCTCTGAGTGTATATAATATATGTACATGTATAAATATATAATAAATGGGTGTATATAATATATGTACCAGGATAGACTTGAACAAGTGCATCATAATTAGGACAAAGTGCCTTACATTCCACTGAGTGTACCGCATTACCCACAATAAATAAAAACATTAACACAATAAATATACCAGCATGACCCATACAATAAGTGCATCATATTTAGGACAAAGTGCCTCACATCCCAATGAGTGTACCTATATAATAAATATACCAGGACACAAAAAGAGCATCATATTTAGGACAAAGTGCCCTATATTTCCCTGAGTGTAGGTACAATATAATACAGCAAGTACACCACATTTAAGACAAAAAGCCCTATATTTTAATGAGTGTTCACCTTAACAGAGCTGGCAGAGCCGAAGAGTCTGGACGACCTCCTGACAGAGGGGTGGGGGTGGGACGAGGCGGGGCTGCTGTGGGGGGACCCAGCCCCCCCACCACCTCCCCCAACACTGGGGGGGATTGAGGGGGATCACCCCGAAGCTGGGGGTGAGGTGGGTGAGCATGGACTGCTTGCAGCGCCCCCCCAGGGGGGGCGGGGGCCCCCCACCGACAGCTCGCTTACGGGGAGCCTGTATACATAAATAATTTCATTAATTCTTATGTAAATAAATCATTTTAAATAAAAAAATAATTATAAATAAAAAATAGATCATTATAAACAAAATATATCATAATAATATTTTTATTCATGCAGATATACATCATTATCAATATAAAGGTATAGGGGTTAGGGAAAGAAAAATATTATATAATATAGGGAGGGATAAATGTTAAATAAAATATAAATAATATATAGATAAATATTGTATAATATAGGAAGGGGGTTAGGGGGGTTCACCTGTCGCAGGTGGGGGGGCAGGAGGAGGGGTGCGGGGGTGACGGTCCCCCCCACGGGGGTGCACAGCTGACTGCAGCTCAGCGTCTGCAGTAACGTTCATATATATTAAGAAATAATACATAAATAAGAATAATATTTCATATGTAATGGCTGAGCTATGCCATACAAATGGCCCGTAATTAATTATAATAATGGCCAACAAATGGCAATCCAATGGTCAATAAATGGCAATCTAATGGCCATAGAAATCAAGTCTAATGGCCGCCAGATGGCCCAAAAAGAGCGGCCACTCACCACATTGACCGCAGGCGTGACCAAGTGGCCACCGCCACCGCCGCGGTTGCCTGATGTTGCCAGCGGCGCGAGGGGCGTGGCTAGTGGCGCGAGGGGCGGGGCCAGCGTCGCAAGGGGCGGGGCCAGCGTCGCAAGGGGCGGGGCCTGCGTCGCGAGGGGCGGGGCCAACGTCGCGAGGGGCGTGGCCAGTGGCGCGAGGGGCGGGGCCAGCGGAGTCGCTGTCGTTGTCATGGCAACCGCGATGTTGTTGTTACCGTTGTTATTGATGTTTTTACTGCTGTTATTGGGGTTATTTGTGTTACTAGACATGTTTATGTCGCTGTTACTGTTGTTGTTATAGTGCTGAAATAAGAAGGCGTCGTTATTGCTGTTAATAACAGAACAGAGCGTGGTGCCGTGACAATAGCTCAGGTCTACATGCTTGTCCAGCGTGAAAATGTTGTTAGGGTCTGTGTCCAGGTTGTTATTGATGTTGTTATTGTTGTTGTTGTTATTTGTGGTGCTGGTAGTGCTGGTGCTAGGTGGGGGCGGCTTGTCACCTGGAATTTAAGAGAGAAATTATTATTGAAGAACTTAAGGCTGGTAGTCAGAGTGCGACGAAGTCTAAGAGCGAGGTATTCGCGACCATCTCCTGAAATATTCGTTCTGTCTTAGGCTCGGCTAGTCGCTACCCTCGAGCTTGTACTCTTTGTAATATTTTATCTTAGCCAGCCCCATTATCATTATTGTAGTCTTTGTAATGTCTTATCTTAGCCAGCCAGATATCCTAGCCAGCCCCTTTCTCGCGGCAACTGGTCGCTTTCAGGTGGCCGAGGAATGGCCAACGGTCGGCTATAACTAATTGGATAGGCCGACCACTGGCCACGTATTATTCTTCGCCCCTCATTGACTTCTGTCTCTTATACACATCTAGATGTGTATAAGAGACAGNTCACGTACCCCACGTCCCCACGTACCTGGCCACGTATCCATGAGGCTCACGTACCTCACGTGCCCCACGTACCCGGCCACGTATCCATAAGGCTCACGTACCTCACGTGCCCCACGTACCCGGCCACGTATCCATGAGGCTCACGTACCCTACGTACCCGGCCACGTATCCACGTACCCGGCCACGTATCCACATACCCCACGTGCCCCACGTACCCGGCCACGTATCCCACGTGCCCCACGTACCCGGCCACGTATCCACGTGCCCCACGTACCTGGCCACGTATCCATAAGACTTACGTACCCCACGTACCCGGCCACGTATCCATGAGGCTGACGTACCTCACGTGCCCCACGTACCCGGCCACGTATCCATAAGGCTCACGTACCTCACGTACCCGGCCACGTATCCATGAGGCTGACGTACCTCACGTGCCCCACGTACCGTATCCATAAGGCTCACGTACCTCACGCACCCCACGTACCCGGCCACGTGCCCCACGTACCTCACGTGCCCCACGTACCCGGCCACGTATCCATGAGGCTCACGTATGCCGTGAACAAGAAGGGGTTGACGGCCAGAGCGGCGCGGTACGCCACACAGGCCATCAGGGGTCGCTGGGTACGCCTGTACGCCTCCCCCAGCAGCCGTAGCACAAAGCTGCTGTGTACGCCGTACCTGTGGTACAGTGTACAGTGTAATACAGTGTACAGGGTGCTGTACGTGTACAGTGTACAGTGTAATACAGTGTACAGGGTGCTGTACGTGTACAGTGTACAGTGTAATACAGGGTGCTGTACGTGTACAGGTTTATGTACAGTGTACAGTGTAATATAAGCCTGTACGCCTCCCCCAGCAGCCGTAGCACAAAGCTGCTGTGTACGCCGTACCTGTACAGTGTAATACAGTGTACAGGGTGCTGTACGTGTACAGGTTCATGTACAGTGTACAGTGTAATACAGTGTACAGGGTGCTGTACATGTACAGGTTTATGTACAGTGTACAGTGTAATATAAGCCTGTACGCCTCCCCCAGCAGCCGTAGTACAAAACTGCTGTGTACGCCGTACCTGTACAGTGTAATACAGTGTACAGGGTGCTGTACGTGTACAGGTTTATGTACAGTGTACAGTGTAATATAAGCCTGTACGCCTCCCCCAGCAGCCGTAGTACAAAACTGCTGTGTACGCCGTACCTGTACAGTGTAATACAGTGTACAGGGTGCTGTACGTGTACAGGTTTATGTACAGTGTACAGTGTAATATAAGCC